AAGTACAGAACAAAGTTTTGAATTTCTTTATCTTTTTTGCATGATTTGGCAGTAAAAATGTTGTACTTTCACAAAATAAGTGCGCAATTTGTCAAAAATTGTTTGAAATTTAGATATAACGATTCAAAAAGTAAAAAATTATCATACATACATAAAGGAATGACAAAATGGCGGCACTGACTGCCTCATCTTTAATCTGCAAATGTTCCACACAAAGTTACTCCAAGTGCTGTCATATTTAGCAGGAACACAGGTATAATTATGGAGAACAGCTACTGAAGTGCGCAAATTGATGAGACTTATTCTGAAGAAAGATATAGCCTAGTAAATGGAAATGTCCATTCCTGCCCTGTATAAAGTCAACCACTAGTATACGGAGATAATTGCTCAGTATACTAATCCGCGTCCACTCATTGCTGGACATGTGGAGATTCATCATCAACGATTACTCTTGGAGGGTACTTATTAGAGCTTGATGGAGTAGACGAGGCATTTCTTTGGGGAGTGTCATGATCAACAATAACAGATGACGTAGCACTTTGTTGGGGAGTTACAATATGTGGTACGACAACAACTTTGAGTTTATCTCTGTTTTCTATAGTAGCTTCTCCCTTTTCCAACTCTACAAAGTCCTCCCAACCAGGGTCATACTTATGAAAAGAAATACAGATAGACAAGTTTCCTTGATACGAAAACAATTTCCTAAACTCTTCCTCGAGAAATTCCAACTCCCTTCCTTCGTAAATATCAGGTATTTTCACTACTTTGTTCCTCTCAAGGTATGACAGCATCACAGCCTTCATCATGAACCGACCACGTGCTCGTGATAGGCGGAGGTTAATTATTAATTTGGGAGGAGTTAGGCGTGGCTAGTTAGTAAAGTAATGGAAACCCTACGAAGATGTTTGTGCTGGATTTGCTGTAAAGCTGCATACCCATCTCTGAAAGGTGTTCTCAAGCACATGGCAGCAACACATGCTTTTGATCCTTGTTTTCATGTTATTTGTGGTATTCAGGGATGCTCAAGATCTTACTCTAATTTTTATTCTTTCAAAAAACATGTCTATAGGAAGCACAGGGAAAGTTTGGATATATGTCCTTCTAGGTCTGATGTAGCTGATAATTCTGTGGTAAATTCTAATGTTGCTGCAATCGAAGGTGATAGTAATGATTTTATAACAGTTGATGACGATGAAGAAGTACCTGAAAATTGTGACGTCATCATCACTGGAAATGGTGCTAATTCTTCTGAAGTTTCACAGCAGTCAGTTCACCTTCGTCAAATAGCAACATTTCTACTAAAGTTAAAGGAAGTGAGGAAGGTATCTCAGACTGCTATTGATGGTCTAGTCGATGATGTATCTTTTCTGATGCAACAGATAGTCTCTCGTCTTCAAACAAATGTTTCACAAGTTTTACAGACTAATGGTTTGAATCTTGGAAGTATTAGTGGCCTACTTGAAGTTTTCTCTGATCCTTTCATAACCCATCCATTTAGACAATTAGATTCAAAATATTTGCAAGAACAGTTCTACACTGAAAAATCACATGAATTTTTTGGTTAGCTTTTTTCCTTAAAACTATACAATTTGTAATGTTTTATCAATTGTTGTTACAGGAACCTGAAAGAAGGGTACTTGGCAGAAGGACAAGTCTTAAACACCACATCTCCAGGCCTTATTTGACTTTTGCACCTATTTATGTGTATCACATTCCATTGCTAAAGTCACTTAAAGTTCTATTAAAGCAACCAATAATCCTAAAAGAGGTAAATTAAGTGCAATGCATTAAGATAGATGGTCATTGATTGTAATCATAATAGGTTATGTACAGTCATTGCAGGACTGATAAACTTTTAGGAGATTATTGCGATGGATCCGACTTCAAGAATCACCCTTTGTTTTCTCAGGACAAGAGATTTTTGCAGGTGATGCTGTACTATGATGACTTGGAAATTTGTAACCCTTTAGGGACTAAAGTTAAACTGCATAAAATTGGTATGTTTCTTTATTTTGAGTATACTAAATTGAGGTTTGTACAAATAGGTATCTTTTACTATTCTCTTGGCAATTTGAGCCCTCACCTGCGTTCACAGCTATCATCCATACAACTTTTGGCAATCGTAAAAACATCTTCAATAAACAAATTTGGTGTTGATGCTATTTTAGAACCCTTTATGAATGACATTAAAACTTTAGAAGAAGTAAGATTGAATAATTTTGTTTAATATTATTTATTATTAACTTTAAATATTAGGAAGGCATTGCTATTGAAATGAATGGACAAGAAGTACTTCTCAGAGGTACAATATCTCTTGTTTCAGGTGACAACCTGTCATCACACTTACTTGGTGGCTTTAAGTCACCCTCTGGTGCCCTCCGGCTGTGCAGACACTGTATGTCAACTGTTCATGAAGCACAAGCGAATGTAAATATTATTTTGTATAATTTAATTTTTATACATGTATTACAGTTTGTTGAAGGCTCTTTTGTTTTGCGTACTCGTGAAACTTACCAGTATCACTGTTCTTTCCTTAGTGGTGCCCTTCGTAATCACGCATCTACAACTTATGGAGTTTTAAGAAACTCTATTTTAAATAATTCAAACTATTTTCATGTTGTGGATGGTCTTGTGCCTGATATCATGCACGATATTCTGGAAGGATGTGCCCCTTACATGATGAAAGAGCTGGTCAAATATTTAATAAATGAAAATATTATCACCCTTGATGAATTAAATGACCAACTCAGTACATTCCCTTATTCACCAATTGATGCTCGAAATAAACCTACACCAATTCCACATACAACAATTAGATCATCTGATCACTCTATGAAACAAAAAGGTAAAAATATAAATAATAAAATAATTGAGATAAAATTTTAAAATTGTAGCTGCTCAAATGTGGTGTTTATGTCGTCTTTTGCCATTAATGATTGGTGATAGAATTCCTAAAGATGATCTAAGGTGGATAAACTACCTCCGACTGTTAAGTATCATGGATCTACTTTTTGCACCGAAACTATCACAAGATGACATTGCCTACTTAGCTGTCCTCATAGAAGATCATCATTCATCATTTTCTGAACATTACCCTTCATGCAACATTACACCAAAGCTACATTATATGTTACACTACCCTCAATGGATTAGCAGGCAAGCCAAATTGCAATTTTAATTATTGACATAATGATTGTATTTTTAGATGTGGACCATTAATTCGGTTTTGGTGCATGAGGTATGAAAGCAAGCATCACTACTTTAAAGAGCTAGCTCAACGATCTCGGTGTTTCAAAAATATTCTTCATACACTTGCTCATCATCATCAAAGGCTTTCATGTCTCTATTTAAATTCTGTGGAAAGTTTTTTAGTAAAGAAAATTTTAACTGGTCCTTGTAAGTATGCTGCTTGATGCATAAACTGTAAAAACACATTTATTTATTTAGCAATATCTGTTGATGTGAGAAACCTTAATTATTACTCACAATTAAGTGACGAATTTTCTGAGATGAGTAATCATCAAGTCTCACAGTAAATTTTATTGCTTACTGATTGATTCTCATATAGATTACATTATTATTTGATAGATCAAATTGGATAGAAGTTTTGGAAACTCGATATAGGTGTGGTTCGGTGGTTCTACTTTCAATTGATTTTTACCCAATATTTGGGGTTGTCACTGATATAATAGTTTACAATGGGGATAATTACTTTCTTGTGTGCGAGATTATTGAAACAATCTGCTTTAATTCTCACTTTCATTGCTATGAAGTTTGTAATAGTTCTTCTCCATCGTTCACTCTTGTAAAGCAATCAGACTTGGTTGATCATAATGTACTTTCAATGTATACTAAAGGCATGTCCAATTTTGTTTCACTAAAATATCATGTTATATAACATTACAATCATGATCATAATTGGGTGTGCATAGTACTCTGAGAATTAATGAAGTGTTTGTGGTACACTTTAAAATTGATACACTCAAAGTGTATCAAGTACTAAGTGTACAGTGACCACTTGTACTTTTACAGTGTAGTTCTAGTTAGCTAGTACTAGTTACTAGTAGTCCCACTTCAATCCCTTGATTAATTAACTACTAATAATTAGTGGTGGGCAATACTGTAGTGTTGTTCCAGTACCAAATGGTACAATATAGTTCCGGTACCCCATACCATTAATACTTACAGTACAGTACTAGTTCCAGTACCCATTACCATTCATAATTACAGTACAGTACTAGTTCCAGTACCCCTCACCATTCATAATTATAGTACAGTACTAGTTCCAGTACCCTTAACATCAATAGTTACAGTACAGTACTAGTTCCAGTACCCTTAACATTAATAGTTACAGTACAGTACTAGTTCCAGTACACATATACTAGTATGGTTCGTACTAGTTCCAGTCTCTCTCTCTCTGATAAGCATAATAATTATTAATAATTTATAGTAATAATGTGTTTTTAATATTCTAATAAATGGTGCAAGATATGTGAAGTTACATTAATCTTGTCACAAGACTATAGGCTAAATGTATTCCTTGTTCTTTTGAAGTAGAACTTCTCTTTCTAAATTATAGTCATTTAACCTGTTTCACTTTCCTTTTGTCACTTCCCCACTAAAAGAGAATACCCTCTCCACAGAAGCTGAAGAAGCTGGTGTAGCATGTATTTCACAAGCCACATTA